CTTAGAGTAGTGCCTAAAAATTACTTTGTGTGGTTATAAGCGACCGTTAAATGAAATGATGAATTTTTGAAGGATTTTGAAAACAGAAAAAATGATAGTCATGCCGGCCCAGCATCATCAACATTGAAAAATGCCCCGGCATGAAGTGGTTAATACCTTTAAGATGCCGTTTACTTTTCATCTATAATGTCATAATATTAGCCCATTTTTGTGTACTTTCTCTTTGTAAAGCCTACATTTGGTTTCTATGATTTTGTTGTTTCATTGAGCAATGCCATTTGTAATTTGCACAGATATTTCTTAACATGCGTTATTTTTGCATTAAAGGAACTTAGATTCAAATGAAGCAGGGAGCCATGGTGGCCTCGCCATTCTAGTTACCTATGAGACATTACACATGACACAAGAACTGACTTTCATATCTTCTAACTGTGCATAACAAGAATGAAGAAACATGATACACTGACCCAACTCAAAATTTTCAAATAAATATGTCAGTGGAAGTGACAGGCAATACTTCTTAGAGTATCAACATAACATGCTAGCTGATGTGATTTTGCTCATACGTTTCTCACTCTTCACAAGTTATGTTTTTATTTTTCCTCAATTTATTATATTAAGTTCTGCAGTTCCAAACATGAGGGATTGATGAATCGGACCAAGGCACAGTTTGGACATTTGGCCTTTGGAGCACCATTGTCAATTAAGTAAGTCTAACTCATTTTCAGTGCAGGAGACTCTAGAGGGATTTGTGAATGATTTTCCAATCACTAAACCTCACCTAGCAGGAGACCCTGATCTTGTGACTAAAAGTATATAAATCATTACTGCAGTGGCACACGGCTCATCGACACATGGTATGTATGCATTACATGCCTCCTCAACTGACAGGAAGTCAAGATTGGCTTAATGCACATACACATTAGTAGGGTGCCACTTGTAGTCATGTTGCCACCTCACATTATTATCCTATTTGTTCAAAATCCATGAATGTGGGTATGTTAACATGCACGCTTACATATGCTAGTCTTTTGCTTTTCCCATCTGAAGTTGGGCTAGTTTCTGTGTGGTTCCCTGCATATCCTTTGCTACTTAGAGTGTTTAAATAGCCATCATGTACAACCCCCTGACAAAAAGGAAGACCTATGTAAAGCACTGATATATAGGTAAATGGAATCCAGTTGATAGTAAGTTATATAACCGATGAGGAATCAGGCATAACAAATTCTACAATAGCCAAATAATAACTATGCCAAAGCTGGGATGATACAGCAAAGACCAGTAGCTTTACATGTACCTCACCATCACACTGCATGCCCCACAAAAACCACGACTTCATGCGCTTCCCTTTTTCCTAATATATTGTGCTGTATCAACACTGTCTTCATGGAGTCAACCACATTAATATGAAAGATATTTAGAAAGATCAAATCTAATTCCTATGATCTATCTGACCTCTAGACCTTTCGTGTTAATTCACCTTTCCTGCCATCAATGTTGAGTCTGTAGCTAAATCTTGCGGGATATGCTCCCTTTGGTCAGCTGTGCGGTTGGAAATTTTCAGGGCGTGGTATGATGTAGTTTGTCGGTGGGGGGACATAGAGCCTTCCTTTAATTCTATGTCTCCCACAACTACTTGTGATCATGTGAATAATGTAGTGTGTCTGTGTCCCGTGTGACACGGACTCACTAAATTATTCCATCTTCCACTCATGCTCGTGTCATAACTTATTAGATATTACACGTGTATTACACATGTATACATGTGTTATTATACATGCATCATTTTCAAGGCACATAATTGTAAAGTTTATGTGATTATCAGAGAGGATCAAGAGGGCCAAATCACCAACTTGTCAGGGTTGTTCCAGAACAAAATCTGTGTTACCTAGCCAGATACACAGTCATCCCAGAGTTGTCAATGACACCCAAACATTTGGAACAAATTTCACTCATCCAGTGGAGACAATATTCACAGTCAACCTGGGGCTTCCGGACATGCCAGGAGCCAAGAAAATTGAGGTTCTGCCACCCTTCTGGTCTCTCCTTGCAAAGTTTAGTACCAACCACAACAGAGGTTAGCAACCTACTAGCCCTACCACCGGGATAGCCCAAGCCAGTCCAAAGCTACAGGCGGACAAGAGTCCAATACAAATGTCTATTAGGAATTCCAGCACATGAGGTGTCCTTGGCGAGTGCCACTACCCAGCTCGCAACACACATGAGACACACAGTTTAAATGGCTGTCATTCCCGTTCTCATCAAGCGGTTCACTAGAGAAGCAAGTGTAATACTCCCTTCAAAAAGAAGAATTCATCGCTTGATTCCAGCTAGCTTCATGGTAGCCTTTCAGGATAACTCCTCAAAGCATCTATACTGCTTTAACAGCACTAGCACAGCAACAAGTAAAAGGCAGCCAGTGTCCTTGGTAGCTGTTTTCCTCCAACGTGGGGTTCCAGTTGACCAGGACAGAGAGAACTGTAGGGAACCAGCCCACTTCACTTCTAGCAGATGTGGGCAATGGGACCACTGTTCCTAATACCTCAAGGCACAGAAACAAGCATTTGACTTACCTTAGGAGCCTCCTTTACCCAAAAGTAATTGGAGTTTCTGATAGAGAAATGGAGGATGATCAAGACACCGGAAGGCCATCATCCCCTTGCTCATTGGAACCTTCATGCAGTTCCCCTTCAGGCTGGGAAGACTCATTGGATGTGACTAATCTTTCTTCTTATGAAACCCTGCTTCACCTGTTGTAGTGGGACGTGGTATAGGCACTTAAGCATTCATTCACAGCATAACCCGAAGAAAACACTAGGTATCCATCATATTGCCCTGTTAGACCATGGGCATGGTCAATTATCTGGCACTTTCCTAGTGCACATCTTGGGTGTACATCATTTATACCGAAAAATATTCATAAAGATGACATAAAGCTCACAAATAAATCCACAGTTAATTAGTCCACCAGTTTTGCTAAAAACCGCCCCAAAAAATCTTATTTTCCCATTTTTGGGATAATTACATCATCATTTTCCAACAGCCAATCAATGAGGCTGTTATGTCAATGCACACAATACGTCATAATAACAGAGATGCCACTTTTCCGATTTTAATTGGAAATTCAACTTTTTTGGTATTTTTTCCCCCCAAAAGCCGATTTTTTTCCCCCTTCAATCTTTTTAACATTGACAGAATTAAATAAAGAAGAAAAGACTGGAAGCAAATCTATGATGCGCATGTATCCTGCGCCGTGCAACTGGGTACTTAATCTTGAGCGCAGTCGTCAGTATAGAGTGCTTACATCAGTCATATTGTGGCACGAAATACAAAGGACAGCGTGGAGTAGTGTCGTCAGTGACTGGAAATACATTGAAATATTGACCTTTAGTTAACGCATACTAGCTTGATGCATGCTCATGTGACATGTGCGATGCCTGAACGTAAACAACGAACGTATGTTGTACTGTACGTTGGACGATCAACACGTGGATTGACTTCATGTTCGAGGGCTGACAAACTGCACCATCTAATTGTCAATGGAAATGAGGATCTTCATGATATTGAAAGAGATGTCAAGGACACATTTTAGTGGAGATGGCTCAAAGAAAAGGATTACAATCAGAGCATGAAATTACAGTCAGACATCGGACATTTTCCGACTCCGAGCAGTTATTGTGTTTTACAAAATAAAAAATGCTTGGACAAATTTTCCGACCAAAATATCAATAACAGCTCTTAAAATATCAACACAATATTTGGGATTATGGCGTCCGATTTATTGTTAGTTTTGTGTTAGAATTACGCCCGAGACATTAATCAGGGCTGATCGCTCATCACCGGCCCATGTCATCTAGCGCCATGCACAGACATGAAATCGCCCTTGTAATTCTTTGCGCGCTGTCACAGTGGTGAAAACACGTGTGCGAAACTGTACGCATTAAACGTAGCTGCTCTGGTTCCCGCCGTGCTGCACCTATGAAAAAGAATATGTCATGCAAATGTAGCAATCAGTACCAGTCTGTACTGTACGTGTACTGAATGTACTGCACATAATCACTCTTCATCAGCCGTACGTGTCAGGCCGGAAAGACATCGATTGCTATGTTGCAAGAAGTTTCCTGAAAGTTAACTCATAGAACTTGGTCTCTTATTTATGTATGTATTTTCTGTGTTCATGAGAAATTTGAGGTTGTTCTGCTCATTTTAGCGCCTGCTGGTTTAGATGCATCACGCATGCTTACCACGCGATACATGGACATTGTTGGCCAGTTTGCTGTCGTGATTGCCTGAATTGCACATAATTTTCTTGTGAATTGCCGTAGGCGTATGCAGAAATTTTTACATAGATTAAGACAGGTTTCTTCAGTTTATGAGATACTTTTGGAAGCTTTCCTCCCTACTGATGCCATTCAATCAGCACAAAATTACCCCCAAACAAAAAAAATGTTCAGACCTACCGATCCAATTTTTCAGAGGCATGCACAGCACAACATCAGTACATGTATTTTTTTGGCCTAATAAAAGTCTACATGATGTATGCAGTAGGCTTTATTTCAATAAATCTTTGGCAAGTGTTGATCCATTTCGATCAAGCAAATTTATGACAAACTAAAAAAAAAAACTAGAGGTGGTGTTTGTGAACAAACACAGGCTGTTTCCGAGTTTGCTGGTTTAGTCAAATCGTATTATAAAATAAGAATGTTTACGAAATACAGCTGAGTTACCAAAATATTGGCTATACTGGCTATATATCTGTGTAGAAAGTCAATTTGAAAAAAAGTAATTAAAAAATTCATCGAGTGCTCATTTAATGTCACATGACTTGTCTCCTGATGACGTCATCATCACATAAGGCAAATATTCCTCTAAAGCACGCCATTTTCAAGATATCTGCAAGATTTGAATTCGATCAGACATCTACTTCAGGAGATATAGTTCCCTAAACAGTGCACATTTAACGTTACGTTACTTATAGCCTGATGACGTAATCAGCACAGCAGGTCAACTTTCGTCTGTAAATAACACTTCGGTTTCTAGTTATCTACAAAATTTCAACAAGATAAGACATGTCCTTCAGGAGATAAAAGGCTTTGAAGTTCATGCAAAGTCAAACAACATGTACAAAACTTATGGGGAAAATGAAATATTGAAAAATAAGTATAAAAAAAGGTGATAACGTCATCATGATGTCATTTATTTTCAGTAAATCATGCATCAGGGTTTTTGTTGGCTATCAATTTGTCAACAATCAAACATTGCAAAGTTACCAAACTTGTGGCTTGAAAACGTGTACAAAATCAATGGGCCATAAAGTCGTTTGCAGAAACACTGCTCCTTTAAGTTCATGTCACGTGATTTTGCGCTTAAACTGAACAATTTTTATGAAAGTTCATGTCACGTGATTTTGCGCTTAAACTGAACAATTTTTATGAAATATTACTTTACATGCGGACTCTTAGGTGTATTCAATCCAAATAACAGAGCGTAAAGTAACCGATTTCTCTTTTGTTCTAATAGTAATCTTGAGCCGAAGTAAAGGACTACTCGTTTACTCGTATTAAGTAGAAAAACGTGTACAAAACCTATGGAAAAAATTAAATAGTCAAAAATCAATATAAAATAAGGCGATGGTGTCATCATGACGTCATCCCTTTGCAATAAATCTTGCATCAGGGTCTTTGTTGGCTTTCACTTTGGCAACGAT